TGGAACTCCTCGGCTCAAGCGATCTTCCCGCCTCAGCCTCCTAAAGTGCTGGGAGTGCAGGCATGGGCTACTGCGCCCAGCCTACTTCTTATTTATGACTTGGACCTGATTATATAGGAGTGCTCCGGTGATTAACTGGGATAGCGCATGCTGAGAACTCGTATGTACTGAACCCTCCCACAGCGGCTGTCACCATCGTGAACAATGAACACTCACAGCACCTTCAGCCCCCCAGGGCCCGTCTTGTGTCTTGAACATATTTGATGCTGGGTGCCTGCATGCTGAATGAGGGGCTGAGAGTGTTGGGTGTGGGTTTTCACTCCTTCCTCCCTGCTCCCCAAGGTCTCATAAGCATGTCTAGCTGTGTAATACACCCATACATTTTTTTTTCTTTAGATGCAGAGTTTTGCTCTTTTGCCCAGGCTGGAGTGCAGTGGCACGATCTCAGCTCACTACAACCTCCACTTCCCAGGTTCAAGCAATTCTCCTGCCTCAGCCTCTTGAATAGCTGGGATTACAGGCCCCTGCCACCACGCCCAGCTAATTTTTGTGTTTTTAGTAGAGATGGAGTTTCACTGTGTTGGCTAGACTGGTCATGAACTCTTAGCCTCAAGTGATCCACCCACCTGGGCCTCCCAAAGTGCTAGGATTACAGGCGTGAGCCACCGCGCCTGGCCACACCCATACATTTTACCATGAACCTTCATATCTACAGGACAACCTCATCTGTGAGGCAACATAGCCTGCCAGGAAAAAATAAAGAATGATATGGAACATGACACCTTGCAGCCTTAGACAGGTTATCCTACCTCTCTGTGCCTCAGTTTCTCTGACTTAATGTAAGCTAATTCCTTGAGCCTGTTAGGGCTGTAGAGATGAAATAAGAGATAACACATGACAATGGCGTCCCAACATTGGTGCTCAACCAGTGCCCCTTGTTTAGACTGGCTGATCCTCCAGGAACCCCAGGCAGGCAGGTGAGACAGGCACTGAGGGCTGGGAAAGGTCAAGTCACAAGCCAAGAATGGCGACGCCCAGGATCAGAAAACTGGAAGGGCTGAGAGATGGCCTTGTGCAACACGCCTGAGTAAAGGAACAGGAGAGGCCAGGGGCTGCCTGCCTCAGACAGTCCAGCTGTGGTGGGGGGGGCTATCTCCCCACTTCTCCCTGATAACCTTAGTCCAAGATGCTGTGCATAGGAGGGGCTGGATTTTAGTATGTTCATCTTCTCAATTACATAAGACCACAAACTCTTTCAGTAAAGAGACAGAAAGTAACTATTTAAGACTTTGCAGGTCATGTATGTTCTCTGTTTTATATCTTTGTTTTTGTTGTTTTTTGTTTTATACAATATCAAAAAAAAAAAAAAAAAAAAAGGCCAGGCACGGTGGCTTACGTCTGTAATCCCAGCACTTTGGGAGGCCGAGGCA